CCCCACATCCCTAAATGCTCTTCACATCTCTAAATGCTAGACAGTATTTAGAATGCGCCCCCCGCATCCCCAAGTGCTCAACATATCTAAATACACTAGACCCCTAAATATTCTACATCTCTAACTGCCCCAGACCCCCAAATATCCCACATCTCTAAATACCCCCATGCCCTTGAATGCCTCAACATCCCTAAGTGCTCTACATCTCTAAATGCCCCTACATCCTTAAGTGCTCTGCATCTCTAAATGCCCCACATCCCTAAATGTTTGATCTCGAAATGCCCCACATCTCTAAATATTTGACATCTCTAAACGCCCCTTAAGTATCCCACACCAATAGTTATCCAAGACACCCAGCAGAGTATACCAGATTCCTGAATACCCCACATCCCTGAATGCTCCAAATTTCTAAATACCCCCGCATGTCCTACATCTCCGAATGTCCCACATCTCTAAATGCTTCACATCTCTAAATGCCCATACCCTTGACTGCCCCACATCCCCGAATGCGCCACACCACTAATTGTCCGAAACCCAACGGAATACCACAGCGCAGCGCTGTTCCAAAATGCATCCATAACCCTTCCCCGATATTTTACACTACCCCTAATGCCCACTAGATCACTTACGGCCACCGGAGCGGTATACGACCGCTTAGTTATAAGTGTAACCAAGTCTAACTTGTAAGTAGGGTAGGAATAAATAAGGTATAAGAAACACGTCACCAACAACTCCCTATTCATTTACTGCCGAACGTAATTTACAGATAATGTAGATGTTTGCGGTGAAAGTAGAATAATACCCTGTCTGATCAGTCTGTCGCAATACAAAACCTTGAAAGCTTGTTCGCTTGAGGTACTTGAATAGAATGAGATTAATCAAACGAATACTTCCCCTATTTCCTCTCGTCGCTTTATTTCCAAAACAAATAAAAAGAAGCCTTCTATACGGCGCAAAGCCTGGCCAAGAGAGTAGAACGACAGCGGACAATTGCGATAAGGAAACCTCAATAGTGCGCTCGAACAAATAGAATATAATAGAACTTCTTTTACGTTACTTACAGAGCGTAATGCATAAAAGAAAGTGACAATTTTCAGATAATGCGGAGGATGGTTAACGGATTAGAATAATGGCGTATTTGAGGGGACAGTATGGAAATCTTGGAAGTTTACTCGAGCAAGTAAAACAGATCGATAATAGTCAAATGAATTTTTCTCCTTTTCTCTGTGCAAACAGAGAAAGGAAAAATATGTTTTTCAGACATAATTAGGAAGGGAGAATAGCACGGAGATAAATTAAATACGTTTCAGACAATACTTAGCCGAATAAACACGATAGTTTCGAAGGGACAATCGCGATACGAAAACCTCGAAAAATTTAGTTGAACAAGTAAAATAGATCGATATTATTCAACGTATATCTGTGTTCGTTGTTTTACTTTAATCTCAGGACACAACAAATAAAAGAAAATGAAAATTTTCAAATAAAGCGGAGCTTGGTCACAGGAGTAGAATAACATCGTATTTGATCAGACAAGCGCAGTATGAAAACCTCGAAAATTTGTACGAGCAAGTAGAATAGAACGACACCATTGAAACGAATACGTTTTGCATTTCTCCCTTTCACTGCAGTCCTGGAATACAAGAAATAAAAGAAAATGAGAATTTCCGGATAATACAGAGGTTGGCCAAAGCAGTAGAATGATACTGTGTCTCGTCGGTTAGGTGCGATAGGGAAACTTCGAAACTTTTATCAGGCAAGTAGAATTGAACGATTTTAATCAGACAAAAAGAACCGAACGTACAGGATGAGAGAAAACAGCGGAACTAATAACGAAATTAGAACAAACAAGGAACCAGCTAATTCCTTGTTCAAGCTCCGTGGCATCTGCCAAAATGTTTTTTATCCGTGTGTAATTACACGTTGGAAGAACGCGAGTTCTTTTCAGCCTAAAGCTTTCATTACTTTATTACGACATTAGTCCGCGAAATGAAATTTTTTCCTTTTGCGGCCTGTATCCAAACAACTCTCTAAGAGCCATCATATTAGAGGCATTCAAACACGGGAATGTAAAATTGCAAGGCAGTCGGTGCGTTTAAAAGTTCACGAGAAATGAAAAAAAGAGAAAAGGAAACGCGATGTGTTTCTTTCATCGCCGTCGCAATCAAAGAAATAGCTACTCGAACTAATTATTTTTGTATGCAACAAGCATCTTTAGCCCGAAGAATTTGCGGTCGCTTCTAATAACGGGTAAAATTTCTTTCGCTGAAAATGATAATTGAATAACAGGGTTACACGGTAAACTTTGATTTCTTCGTACACGGAAACTTATCGCATGACCTGATAAATGCATCTTTACAGCCGGACGCATATATCATTTAAACGAAACTTTATCGCGAACTGAATTTACCGCTCTTCCGTTGTCGCGACAGCCCATCAAAAGCAAAGCGACTGCAAATTAAATGATTAATCAACTGGTATTACTCAAACAGATCGATCTCCCAAAGAGCTAACCTGCAATTTTCGTGTCGTTCGATTTAGAGGCCAGTGAACTGTTTTCGAAGCCGATGTAATAATCCTGGGCAAAGATAATCTAATTTATGAAACTCATTTGAGTGCAATTTAGGATTCTTTGGTAGGACAAGTGCGAATGTCTTCGAAATTGAAGATGGAAAGCTTGAAAATTTTTAGAACCCCAATTTATAAATTCTTGAATAATGGTATAATGTAATAAGACTGTAAAATACTAAAATAGTTGAGATCGCAAAATGGAGAAATGATAAAATTGGTAGAGTAATAAAATGATAGACCAAAAGAATAATGGAGTAAAATAATTTTTAGAATGATAAAATAGCAAACTAGTGAAAAAAATAGTAAAGTGAGGTAGCAAAGTAGTAAAGTAGCAAAGCATTAAAGTATTAAAGTATTAGAGTATGAAAGTAGTAAAGTAGCAAGGTTGCAAAGTAGTAAAGTACTGAAATAGTAAAATAGTAACAGAGTAAAATGAAGTAGTAATATTCAACTTGTTAAAAATTTAAATAAAATACAAAAATGCACCAAATAAAATTCTTCTTTCCTCTCTAACACAATTCTTCTCTCAAAGAATTTTATAATCAAAATCCGTACAAAAAAGTTCATACACCCTTTTGAATTAATATTTGTTAATCTACAGATTTTTATACGTTCCCCAAAGATTTGTTCTTAACTAACATGATTTAGGTTTAATCGATCGTACACCATTTTTCGTACTCCAATTGTTTTCGTTGAAAAAATACAAATAAATTGGCTGGCCACGCAGCTATAACAATAGAAATAAATTTCCAGTCTATCCGTTCTAATACATATATACGTTATAAAATATATTACAAAAAGTTTTCGAACAATAGGAAACACAGATATACGCGGAACCAGCGTGCAGCCCTAACACGCGATCATTTATCAAAGCATCGCGGAATCGTTAAATGCATTAGACCGATGAATTACTTTTTCATGGCACAATATTCGTGTGGAAGTATCATTAGAGGCTTGTTCAGGTAAAGTTATTAATAAGTATACGCTTGCAATTATATAGAACATCTGTGATATTGATACCGTGAAATATCTCGTATTTTATTAAAGACTTTACAAACAGTTTGTGTACACAATGTATTGTGTGGGGAAAATAGCAAGAGATAGAAAAATATTTTTAACGATGTAACGTTTGATTACACTGGTTACTATGAAATTCATTTAAAAATGAATTTAAGATGAACTTGACATTTTCAAATTATGAGATTAGTAAATTCTGAAAAGTTTTTTAAATTTAGAAATTTTTTAATTCTTGAACTTTTGAATTATTGAACTTTTAAAATTTCTACATTTGAAAATTATTGAACTTCTGAGTTCCTACATTTCTAAATTATAGAACTTCTGAGTTCCTAAGTTTGACAGTTTGTCAATTCGAAAGTTGGAAGATCTAAAATTTCTATATTTCCATATTTATAAATTTCCTAGTTTGCAATTTTCCAAGGGACCAAATACCTAGATTTCCAATTTTCCTAAGACCAAATCTCTAAATTTCCAATTTTTCTAAAACCAAATTCCTCAGTTTCCAATTTCCCAATTTTCCACATTCCCAATTTTCCCATTTCCCAATTTCTCAATTTCCCAATTGCCCACTTTCCCAATTTTCCAATTAACTAATTTCCTAAATTTTACAATTTAAAAATTAGAAAATTTTCCACTTCTGTATTTTCAGCTCCCCAAATTCCAAAATTTGAAATCTCCTTAAACTCGATGTAACCTTCTTTCTAGATTCTCCTGACTCCCTAAATTCCCCCTAGATTCTCCCTAGATACTCCCTAGTCCCTGCCTAGATTCCCTCTCTACACCTCAATAAATCTCGTAATTTAATAATGTGATAATCCCATCAAATGATCGACAATTAATCAAGCACCGTTTAATACGAAACATATTACAATATTTAAATTTATCAAAAACAATACGCAACCTAATAAATGCTGTTATAATAAACGCATTAAATTAATATTAACCGATTAATATCAATTTGGGTGATAAATTTATCGTTTGTACGAGGTAATCAGAAGGATAAATGTGACTGAACAATTGCTTAATGCCGGGATAATTGAAACGCAGCGCGTTATGGTGCAGGTTAATTGCATGAAACTCACCTCCATATTTGCACCGTCTACCCACAAGTCAAGGAACGGTGGTTTCCTATCCTTTATGTATCGTAATATCGTCTTGTCATCCTTCATGAACTCGACTTTATGCAAGGAAGCATCTGGGACACTATGATTGCAATGCAGAACCGCTGTGCTCCCGTAGGTTACGTAGCGCGGTGCTATCAGTTGTACATGCACCGTGGAAGTTGCATCTGAAAATCATCGATAATGTTTACTTTTTGCCTGTTTATTCGCAGAAATAGGCCATTATGAACTAATCATAAATCACATACACATAAATACCCAAAGAATTGTTTAAACAAAGGAACAAATATTTATGTAACAAACGAAACAATATTATAATACATCATCTATATTTAATATCTTATTTTAATTTATAAATATATTTAGAATACTTATCAAATATATCAAATTTATTTAATGCAAGTCTTGTATTATTTTAGACGATAAACTTTATATTTTATTTTAAATATTAAACTCTATATTTTATTTTAAATATTAAACTCTATATTTTAATTTAAATATTAAACTCTATATTTTATTTTAGACATTAAACTTTATATTTTATTTTAAATATTAAACTCTATATTTTATTTTAAACATTAATCTCTACATTTTATTTTAAATATTAAATTACACAGAGCAGTAAAAATGCCCAATTCTGTAACACAGAGAATCCAACGTAATTTGATGACACAAAAGTGGTGTCAAATGATACTTATATCAATTAAAAGCGTACAGTTTCACAAAAATGACAACATAAGCGTTTAATCGATACTTTCCATGTCAAAATAATGGTACTTCAATTGGAGCGAACAATGAATCGACCAATTTGCAGCTTAATATAACCTATCAGCGGATGTGCAATCACTACTTATTTATTCGTTGGCACGGTGAAATTATTGATAAAATGTTTATGTAGTTATTTCGATTAAATTTTGAGCTCCACTGTAAATTCTATTTTGCGTCAATTTTGTGCCATTAAAGTGTGTCACAATTTATGTACTCCGAAATCGATCGATGTCTGCTGTAACTGGCAGTTTGTTATTTTGTATTAATATTAGAAAATTATTTTCGAGAGTATACGTATGTTATTGTATCAGATTTTACACGATTGACTGACTGATATATTTATAATATTTCAAAACATTAACTTTAACTTTGACTATTAAAAACATTAATATTCTACTTTAAATGAACGAAGTTTGGAACAATCTCTAAAATTAACACATAATAGTGTCAGACTTATTCAGGAAATCTCAGATTAAATTTCCTGATGTAACATTTCAATTTCCTTAATTTCCGAATTATTAAATTAAATTCCTAGTGTTAATTTCCAAGAACAACTCTCTGTAATATCAGATAATCTCGACAAACAATTCTACAATTTCGAATAACGACGTAACAATATAGAGTAATGCAAAGGATAGAAAATTTGCGTGTCGTACAATGCAATTATTCAGGATCGAGTTCACCGTGCATTTCAATAGGAACATCAACGCATCATTTTATTCTCATTCACAAATTAATTAATACAGAATGCATATTCGCGTTGCGCAGAAACATCGTTCTGGCCATAGTTGATGAGTCTCCGTGAATTTTCATATCCGAGAAAACGCTAAACGCGAGCATGTAAAATGCTATTCAAAGGGAAACCCGCTCGCGAGGAATAAATCAAAGCATACCGCCGGAAAATGTGCGCGTTACGTGAAATCCGTACCTAGACCACTTAAAATGGACACAAACACACGCGTATATAAAACCACGGCCTGGTTTCGACGATAATAGCGTCGCACGGGAAAGACAATAATTAATTTAGCAAATCTCAGATGTCTCATCGCGGCACGTTAAAAATAACGTTCAAACATTCGTGCTACGCTGAAACAGCGAGATCTGCCGCTCGAAACTTGCCTCGTTACGATTCAACAGCGAAACTCCCTCGTGCAACTTCATTAACAATAAAATCATTAATTAATTTACGCACGAAATGAAACAAACGTTCCAGCTCTCGCATAGAACTAATTTTATTACGTAATACATTATTTCTACCCTCGCATAGAAGGATTCGAATTTTTAATTCCTTTTTCGGTTCTTTGTCGAGGTTCTTCGTTTTCACGGTCTTTTTGAATTGAAAAAATCGCCGTGTTTGAAGTAAGCTCAGGCTTGAGATTACTGACATTTAATGTTAACTGGACCATTTTTGTGTGTGGGTAGCAAAGCCTCGGCGGGCAATGAAGTGCGGTGTGTAAAATCATGATAAGCTGTTTGAAGTCCGTGATAATTTAAGTCCTCGAGAAATTCGGTGGTTCAGAAAATTAATTTGCTACAAATAATATATTTAGAAATATTGACACTTTCAAATTAATAAATTTACTGATTTGAAAATTTAGGGAATCAGAAAATCTCGAATATAAAAATTTAGAAAGAGACATGCAAAATTTTTTAGTTAAAAAATTGTTAGACTTAAATTTCGAACTTCAGACTTCTTATCCTTCGATAAAGAAATATTCCATTACTGTTAATATCTATTAATATTGTATTATATTCTCAAAATGATTACAATGATAGCTGTTAATTACGAGTTACGCTAATTAAGCAGGAGGAATTACAACAAAAAAGGTGCTTACAAAAAATAATATAATTGTAAAGGAAATTTTTTGGGCGAAATCGTAAAGGGAATTTATTAATAACATGATAATCGAACACGATTCGAGGCTCGATAAGAAAATGTCTATTAGCTCGCTCGCGATGTTCATCGATATCTAGGTCGACTAGAAGGATCGTCAATTTCCTGCTAACTTTCAGCGTTAACTCGATTATTGGCTGAATATACGGCAGATAGGATCTCGTACGATTTCTTGGACGGAAAATGTGAGGAAGGTCGCGGTAACACATTCAAAAATACGTTCGATGTAATAAAACCGTACGGAAGAATGGAGAGGTTTCGGTTGACTATAACTACTTGTGGCAGTACCCTGTTGCTGGGAGGTGTTACTGTATCGATCACTGGAAAGCGCGTGTTACCAACACGGGCGCACGGTGTTCCAACCGTTCAAGACGTTCCAAAAGCACCATATTCGAGGACAACGGAATTGTAGAAACGAAATCGTTCCATTTCTGAACCGCCGTATCACTTCAGATTTAAACGCTTTTTCACTCGCGTTAAAACGTTTTCAAACGAACGAGGAACTAAAGCCCCTTTCAAAATTAGCGAACAAAGCGGGGAGAAAAGACGAAGTACAAATAAAAATTTGTTTTCTCTTTGTTCGCAGATTATTCTTTAACACCAGTCGATTTAAAATTCATCCATTATGAGCCACTTTTAACCGACTTCGAAAAAGGAGGAGGTTACTCAATTCGATCAGTATATTTTTTTTAAAAATATTATTTCTGATCGTGCATATATTATTTTTGCGAAAGAATTTAATTTGCAATTAATTTGTATAAATAAAACAAATATCGTAAATTTTTGATGAAGTAAAAAAGCTATTTATAATGTAAAATTTATTTTGTAATAAGCTGTGCAGAATAAATTATATGATTTACTGCGATGGATTGAAATGCCAAGATAAAATTGTATCGAATGCTTTTTGTCAATATTCTTTAAATATTTCGTATATAACATTAAAGCAGGCAAATGTCAGCTATGGCTCATTTATAAATATAGTACATTAATTTGAAGTGCACTTAACCAAAAATATTTAACTGCAAATACGAGGCATTTAAAAAAACCGCGTAAACACGCAATTAATCACTGATTCGCTTGAATCAATTAAATGTCTGATGCAAGACTTCGTACGAAAGATTATATGTGTTTATGAAAATTACTTCCGATAAAGCTGCTTATTGCGACGGTATAGCTTCGTGACTGAATTAAGAAAAAACAATTTGCATAAATTTCACTGTTACATGTATCACTAAAGCGTTTGTTTACCCTCGTACTCAATGAAACGCTAGCCCTTACGCAAGCCTTCATTCAAACTGTTCAGTATGCAGATTGTCACACGTTTTTGGACGTAAATTACAGAAAAATCGACGAAGCAAACTTGCGTGTGATTTCCTTTGCGTATTAAATGGTATGACACTTAAAACTGTGATAGAATAATAATTATTTTCACTGACGGAAAACAGAATGAACTGGCCGGGTGGGTGTTTACGATTGCGTATAACTTACATGAAAATAAGTGGAAAATATAGACGAATACGAATTTTCTCCAATGTGCTGGTTGACGCGGCATTGTCGCAAGAGTTATTTTTTCCGAATATTACTGTCTCTACGTTACTTAATAGGAAAAAAAACGTGCTTCTAGTTTGTACAGTGACGTGCCTTTAAACTACACAACTTCGAGCCGAGTCGGCGCTACAACTGACCAAGCTTTTCGATCGTTCGACCAACTCCCATAGAATATAGAACATAGAACGGAGACTCGCTGTTTTTCCGCTTGTCAAATAATTTGTAACTAAATTGTTAACTATGTATTCTCTCCAATAACGAATTAACATACTCAAAATAAGAAACAGCGATTAATTTTAATTTACTACCCTTACCGTTCAAGAGATATATTTAAACAAATTTTAATTTCTCTCGTTCTTTAACACTTGGGAATGGTAAAATAAAAGGGTGATTTTTGTATTATTTATTAGTTGATAAGAATAATTGAAATATAACGTGACATCGTGTACTTATGCATGTACTAGGGTCTGTTAGGGTGCGTTTACACTACGCTAGCGAGTGCTCGTACTGCATTAAAGCTCAAACGTGAACAAGCGAATGTAAACGAATGCTCTTAACCATTGAACAATGTGATTCAATTCGACGTAATTCAAATTGACACGAGTCAATTTGGTGTAATCAAATCAGTGTGATTCAAACTAGTATTGATTTAATTCGATAAAATTCAAGTCGGAGCAATTCATCACAATGCGAATCAATTTGAGATGTTATGATTCGATATGATTTGATTCAATCTAAGTCGCTTCGATACAATTCGACTCAACATATTTTAATTGGATTAAATTCGTTCTATTTTGATTTAATACGATTAAGCTCACTGTTCCAAACATTTTAACATTCCCTAAACATTTATTCATCACTGACAGTAATGTGTCTGAACCATTGACGAACATGAGCTCGATGGTTCTTTACCCTAAACGAGCACGAACAAATGCTCTTGCTCTTGTTCTTCCCCTTTGCTCGTTTAGTATGAACACACCTTTATGTTATTAGTCCTTGTTATAAAAATAAGTACTTATGTATTGCATTGTTGAAACACGCAATGTATAATTGTTCCCTACAAGCAACAAGTATAGTAAAAGAATGATTCTTTTCATATATAGTAAGTTCGAGGTATTCATGTAAACATTCTACGTGTCCTGTCATGTGCTGACACGAATGCATTTATATGAATGAAATACGCATGAGTTGTACGGTCGAAGAATTTGAAGGAAAAGCAAAAATGGAAGCGCACGAGGAAGATGATTTAGAAGAAATAAATTCAACCGTTTATACTTTTCCGCCTAATGTACAGAATGTGATCGAACAGGTTAAGTTCACAATAAAACTGTCAAACTATTTACAGCTGTCACTTATCCTTAACAAGTGGTTTATATTGTCTTAACTATTATATTATTGTATAATTAAGTTTTGTATATAATTTGTTCCTAAAATCAAATCACATTATCACTAATGTAGTTTAAATATAATTGTATGGTGCATTGTGAAGGATCTATCTTTTCTGAGTCGAACCTTATTTATATCCTCCTCTGCAGTATTTTAATACTAATGGTATCTATATGAACTTGTTTAATTGTTAGGTTTTACCCAGTACGGATCCATTGGACCAACCAAACTTCAATGTAGTAGATTATATAAATTCGTTATTCCCAACGGAACAATCATTGTCTAATATAGATGATGTAGTAAATAACATGGAATTAAAGATACGTACTATAGACAAAGAGATTCGTTCAGTAGTACGTGGACAAACAAATGTTGGCCAAGATGGGAGGGCAGCATTAGAAGATGCACAGAAAGTAATAAAACAATTGTTTGTGCATATTAAAGACATCAAGGATAAAGCCGAACAGTCTGAGGAAGTAGTTAAAGAAATAACAAGAGATATCAAGCAACTAGATTTTGCTAAGAGAAATCTTACTGCCTCTATCACAGCTTTAAACCATTTACATATGCTTGTGGAAGGTGTGGATACTTTAAAGTAATGTATCTCAATTTCCATTATCAAACGTATGATCCGATGCAAGTTACATACACATCATATCATTTTATTATTTTTTCAGAGTATTAACTCAAAAGAAACAATATGGTGAAATTGTTTTACCATTACAAGCAGTGATGGAAGTGATGCAACATTTTAATAGCTACATGGACATACCACAAGTGAAACAATTGTCTGATGAAGTATGTAATACTTAATTTGTACTATCTGAACTGTACTACTCAATGTAACATTGAAATATTTATTTGAAGGTGCATCAGATACACGTTGAATTAGCTCAACAGATAACAGCTGATTTTAAACAAGCATTTTCTGGACAAAATCCAAAGTACTTCAACCAGCTTACAGAGGGATGTCTAGTATTATCTGTATTAGATCCTAAAGTTAAGTAAGTATATTTACTATAATTTAGTAATAACGACACTCTTTTGATGACTTATTTCTTTTATAAGGAAGGATCTGCTCACCTGGTTTGTTGGTATTCAGTTACAAGAATATGCACATTTGTTTGAAGAAAATCAAGATTTTGCGTGGCTAGACAAGATAGATCGACGCTATGCATGGATAAAGAAGCATTTAATTGACTTTGAATCAAAATTTGCGACAATTTTCCCACAGGATTGGGAAATATCGGAACGAATTGCCGTACAATTTTGTCACGTTACGCGAGAAGATCTTACAAAATTAATGCATAAAAGGCGTTCAGAAATAGATGTTAAATTATTACTGTACGCGATTCAAAGAACTAGTAACTTTGAATCATTGCTAGCAAAACGATTTAGCGGTATTACATTGGAAAATACAGAAACAGTAAATAAAAAGAATACGGCTAATATAGAGACGGTTGATAACAAAGTTCCAGGCAATCCATTTGAAGAAAATGAGGAGGTAACGTATATTTCAACAATGTACATGGAAATACTATTTCCATGTTAAAAGACTTTCATATTTTAGTCACAAACTGAACAACCAAAAACATCGCCATTTGCAAATCTCATAGGAAGATGTTTCGAACCATATTTAAGTATTTATATAGAAAGTTTAGATCGCAATTTAGCAGATCTAATGGATAAATTTGTGTCGGATTCTAAGACACAACCACCTGGTGCTAAAGATTTTGAAGGTGTCGAGGGTCCTAGTAGTGTTTTATCGTCTTGTGCAGATCTATTTGTATTTTACAAAAAATGTATGTTACAATGTACGCAACTTAGTACAGGTTCAATCATGTTGAATTTAGCTGAAACCTTTCAAAAGTACCTGCGCGAATACGCCCTTAAGGTGTTGCAAAATAATTTACCAAAGTAAGTAAAACATAGCTTTTTTCAATACCAGTTAATTGCATTTTGTATATCTTGATTTTTTAATGTAACAGAATCGGAGGAAGTGCTGGAATTGCTACAAGCATGAGTAGCATAACGCGTGATTTTCGAGATCTTTCTACGTCAGGTTTCATACAGAATTTTCAAAGCTTTTTGAAAGAGGGTGAAAATACTAAATTTAGCAAAGAAGAACAATCACGTATATGCTGGTAAAGGTTTGCTCATTAAGTCTCTTTTTTAGCATAATAGTTTAAAGAAAATAAATTATATAAAAATATATTTTAGCGTATTAACAACAGCTGAATATTGTTTGGAAACTACGCAGCAGTTGGAAGAAAAACTTCGAGAAAGAACGGACAAATGTTATGCCGAAAAAATTAATTTATCTCAGGAACAAGATATTTTTCACAAGTATGTAGTTGGTTTTTTCTATTAAATATGTAATAATTTAATTTTAACCGGGTTATTTTTTTCAGCGTTATATCGAATTGTATACAACTGCTCGTTCAAGATCTCGAATCAGCATGTGATTCAGCACTAACTGCAATGACGAAAGTTCAATGGAGTAATATAGAAGTTGTTGGAGATCAAAGTAACTATGTAAACACTATTGTGGCACATCTACGACAAACAATACCTACTATCAGAGATCGATTATTTTCGTGCAGGAAGTACTTCACGCAACTCTGTGTAAAATTTGCAAGGTATTCTAATTTTTTATTTATTTTTCGCTTTTTAATATTGTTCTGAAAAATTAATGAAAAATTTATTTATAGTTCTTTTATAGTAAAATTGGTACAACAGTTGTACAAATGCAAACCCTTAAATACAGTGGGTGCTGAACAGTTATTATTAGATGTACACATGTTGAAGACTGCTCTGTTAGACCTTCCATCAACAGGATATCAAATTCAGAGAAAAGCACCAGCAACTTATACGAAGGTATTTGTATTATCATTATTTACGCGATACTGTATTGACATGCCTTTCTCTATTAAATTTATATATTTTTATCATAATCAGGTAGTAGTGAAAGGAATGGCAACTGCCGAAATGATTCTTAAAATTGTAATGTCACCAATTGAATCTCCAAAAGATTTCGTAAAACAATGCAGAATGCGTTTACCAGACCTACAAGCACCGGAATTTCAAAAAATTTTAGACATGAAGGTAAAATTAAACTTGTTTAGACGAACATCTACTTAAAATTTTCATCGCTTATATTAAAATTATTAATTGTCTGTAGGGTTTAAAGAAGACAGAACAAGTTCTACTACTAGAACAATTCAAACAACCGGAAAATACTGATATTTCTCAAGATAATAGGAGTCATGTCACTCAAGATACCCCGGAACACGAGGCTGGACGAATAAAAAGATTAGAAAAACTGATAAAAAAAAGAATATAAACATATTTCATAGTAAATCATTACATTATAATGTACATATCTAAATTAAATAATAGTTATATGCATATAAATTTAAAAAATTAAAATTATATACCCTTTTTACTTCATCACAATATGGTAAAAATCATTTTTGTACAGTTAAACTTGTTACCATTTCCATTATCTATGAAGTGATAAACAACTAAAATCTTGGATTTTATACTTTATTGTTGTACAGTGTAAACAATACCAAAGTAACAGGATGATGTTAACCCTGCTTTTGCGCAAGTTCCTTCGCTTTAGCTTTTTCTAACTTAGCTATTCTAGCAGCAGATTTGCTACCTAGGAGACCACCACCCCAATGACGTCTAATTTCGTCATATCTGTCATTGAAGTTGGTCTTAATAGCTTCAACGAGTTTCGAGAAGTTAGCTCTGTCACCGGAGTCCACCTGTAAAACAAACGAAAAAAAAAAACCCTTTCACAAAACAGCTAAATATCAGTAGATAAAGTAGCATCACTGAAAATGTATCAGGTATAAATTTGGTTTTTATATCACGAACAATATCATTGGATTGGCTCAAATATTCATCATACTAATAATGTTTCATAAAAATATAAAAAAATGTTAGTCGTTCGTACCTGAGTCAAAGCTACTGCTGTGCACGTTTTACGCCTAACAAGACGACCTAAACGCGCTTTACTTTTTACAATGCAGTAAGGTACACCCATTTTACGACAGAGAGCAGGTAGGAAGAGTACAATCTGTAATACAAACAGAGCATACCATTATAGTAACACAAACCTAAAAATGAACATCCTATAATAATTGATTGCTTTCCTCAGAGTCATATGTCATCCTTTAAATAAATTTGATTGTATCAATTCAAATCAAATTTATTGTCAGGTGAAGAAATTCAAACATCATTGTAATAAATAAACTAACTATAAGTATTACGATTAAAAGAAAAATAAAACAAATATTTACTTCTATTGGGTCAACATCATGTGCAATTACTACAAGCTGAGCCTTTCTTTGTTCAACAAGCGTAGTTACTGTGTTGGTTCCACTACGCAGCACATTAGGCTTCTTCGTTGGGGTATCCTCTTTCTTTGCAACCTTTTGTTCAGCTCTTGCTTTCAACCTCATCTTTTTCATGACTGCTGATTCAGGCCTGTATTTTTCCAACATTTTGAATAATTGTGTTGCTGTAACAAAAAAAAGGATTAGTTTCATTATTGAACTGTTGTTTCAAATTATGTCTTATAGATGAAGATAAATTTACCTGTTTGTTTATCCAATGCTTGGGTAAACTGATTAATTGGTGGTGGTACTTTCAATCTTTTTTGTAATACGGCCCTCTGTCGTTGAATGCGAATGTATTTGGGCCATTTTACGAAACGACTAAGGTCTCGTGCCGGTTGAATATCTTGGCCTAAATGTCAAATTTATCTATCGTTAATACTATAAAAATCTACTATGAAATAAACTATATACTTTATCAATTCCCGTTTACTCACCAATACCAAAATTGCGGGGACGTTTTTCAAACAGAGGATTAGTTTGTTTTTTCGGCTCAACCTTCTTCACTGCAAGTGGTGCAGCTGCCACCTTCTTCCCTACCTTCTTCTTCGGCTAAATTTATATAAAATAGCATTTATTAACACGTGTTTAGTAAACGCCATGTTACAGGTTTAAATACAATAACCGTATATATATACAAATGAAACATATTTATAATGTCTAAACACGTTCAAAACATGCCGAATTCTAACCAATATCATTAGCAGTAGCAAGCTATTAATACATGAAATATTATTTTCATTCAATAATACAGTGCATTTACCTTCTTTTGAACCATTGTTTTAACGAAAAATCTAACTGATTATTTATATCACAATGGATATAAAATTGTACTTCGGTCAACACGACGCGAAGTACGACCGCCGAGAACGTAAAGGAAGATTCATGCACTAGCGCCACCACAAGCGATATCAGCGCCACTTGACAAATAATTCCATGATGTACTTATTTCTAGATAAGAAACTCGATTGATTTTATTACTGTACTGGAAAATTTAATGAAAATTCATTTATAAAATTAAATTATTTTATAGTAAATACTAAAAACAATTAGCAATACTAAAAACAGTTTGCATTTCTACGTTCTTTTAGATATACATACGGAAGTACTTCGTAGAAATTAGAAATTTCTTGAGGTTACAGAGGTACATAAATCTAATTATTCTTGTAAAATTAAGGATAAAACTATCGTTTTTGTACAAATAACACATATACTGCAATTATATTATTAAGAAATTGTATCGTAAAATAATATTAGCAATGAAGAACAGATATTTACTTAATGAATTTTTAATATAATTCAAACTTATTTTACTGTTGTAAGAAATTGTTGCAGTTTTAAAAAGAAATGAAGAATGAGGAATTGTGAATAAGAACAAAGTACATTGTTGAAGAATTTATTTGAAAAATATTTCGTCAATTTGAAAATGCACCAAGATGCAATCTCTGCAGTGTGCATGCGCAGATCCAACATGTGACGTGAAGCAGCTACAGCAGGGGCCGCGCGTGCGACCTACGCGGTTCCAGTTTAGACTATTGTCCGATGAGGGACGCGTAGCATGTGAGCTGTCTTAGGCTTTGTAACGTGTCGACGATCCGTCTACGTTTCTGTGATGAACGGTGATGTTTGGTATTCTAAAAACTATCGTTTATTAGTGTGCTCGTGACAGTACGCGACTTGGGTGGTTAGTGATCCCTAACTTATCGTGACATTTCCTTCCGTCCTTCCGTGAATTTTCAGAAGTATCACATTTTCTATTAGGGGCGTTTTAGGAACAGTGACTACAGGTAACAATACACAATTAAACACTCTTTACTGAATAATTTTAAATTAAAATAACAAATAATATTTATTACTTTACTCCTCTTTTTAAAATTACAACTGATAAAGTAATCATTACTCGGTTTTTCCGTTGAAGCCGTTGCACAGCATTTCGTTAATGATTACTCACAAAAAGTTGATATATACATGTTCTTTAATGTATAATCGGTTAAATTTACATTGAATTACAATTGATAATAAATTTCTTTAGTGGAAGTAATGCTAAACTGCGATCGTTAGCAATGCCTCGTTTGAACGAACGATCGAGGGTTACTTAATTTGTAGAAACAGCACTTCAGACGTGCAAATTAATTCTACTGTTCACACGAATATGAAATACTATCGAACGGCGCGGCAGTAATTTAATTTAACTATCAATGAAACATATGATCATCGCAACGAAACAATTAACGTTATTATTCTAACTTAAAATTAAAACAAAACAGGTATTAAATTTATCTGCAAATTCTAATTGTTTGTACATATATTAACACTATCTCTGTATAGTTTTGATTTAGAGTTCCAAAGAGGCGAAAAAATTAGCGACGATGTAGTATTTGGACAAGAGTGAAGGTCTCGCTATATGGTTCCCACTTATATGGCCCGTTGAATTTTCCTTTGCACTCAAAGAATATTCTATACGCCAGTGGCGCCGCCTATCATTGTAGTATACGGTTCACGCAACCACAATTTTTTTAATTTTTAAATTTCACAGATATGATCATTTTTAAATTTAGAAATCGGAATTTATGAGCACTGCTCGCAGCAGGCTTTTGGTAATCAAATACAAGTTCCGTTTACATTCCACAAACGAGGCTCCACTGTATTTATTTTATCTTAAGAATTAGCGTTATATCTTTTCGCAGAAATCTCGCGCGTTCGTAACGTGTGACGAACACGTTCATAAATCAATTTCGTGTACGCTATTCGACTAATATAATCGTTTACCAGGTGCAATCTGAATCGTTCGAGATGACAATTAGAAAGATTTGCGGTATCGGGGCCGGATACGTGGGCGGTCCAACTTGCAGCATTATAGCCCTGATGTGTCCCGAGATTCAGGTGACCGTGGTCGACAAAAGTAAAGAGAGGATTGCACAATGGAATTCGGAGAAGTTGCCGATTTACGAGCCCGGTCTGGATGACGTGGTTCGAAAGTGTCGTGGCCGAAATTTATACTTCTCCACTGATATCGAGACAGCGATCCAGGAAGCGGACCTGATATTTATCTCTGTGAACACGCCGACGAAAACGTTCGGTAACGGCAAAGGAAGAGCGGCAGATTTGAAGTACGTCGAAAGCGCGGCTCGGATGATCGCGGAAATTGCGACCGGGGACAAAATCGTTGTGGAGAAGAGCACGGTGCCAGTAAGAGCGGCCGAGAGTATTATGAACATTTTGCGTGCCAATCATAAACCGGGAGTATCGTATCAGGTAACGTTGGATGGAATTACGCAAACATTTGTATCGTTTCATTGAATATTTTTTGTTAAATTGTACGCCGTTGCCGCAAGTGAGACGCATAACACCTGGATTTGTTATAGACATTTGGAAGGTCAAGTTTGGAAATTAAAAAATTCTTATATATCTTTATTATTAAACAAAACTTTATTATTTTATAATAATGTTTATACATTAATATTCTACGTCGTTTATTTAAACATATTTCTCGATACAAGTATTTCATAAATTATTCAAAACTTTTTTAAAAACCTATATTGTAAAATTTTTCAAACGAAAATTTCCAAATCAATTATTATTAAAATTGAACTGAATAGCCTATAAACCATGTTTTGCTCGTTGATTATAATCCGAAGGAAAGGCTAGTTGGAAGCTACCTGCTTTTAATACCTGTCGAGTTAATGCACAAGACGTCCTTTTGCTTCATTCACTGCGATTGTCCGCGACCTTTTTCTTTCTCTAACCGGTATTTTTATATCATTTTTATGTCGTTAAATATGTACGTTGCATGCTATTATATGCGCAATGCGATGCGGCGTAATAGGAAGAGCTTTATCCTTTCAGATCCTCTCTAATCCAGAATTCTTAGCTGAGGGTACAGCAATCAAGGATTTGGTGGGCGCGGAGCGCGTGTTAATCGGTGGCGAGGACTCGCCTGAAGGACATGCTGCTATAGAAGAATTATGCAAAGTTTACGAGCATTGGATTCCGAGGAAAAAAATTTTAACTACCAACACTTGGAGTTCAGAACTATCGAAGCTGGTGAGAAGTTATCTATGTTATCTAATATTTGCTAAAGGGCGATTGTAACAATATGTTGCAAGTTGGAAAAAGCATAACTGTATTTACATTGGAATAACTACGATTTCCTGGAGTGTACAAGGTTTTCCAGATATATTTCAAATTTTAGATCAACATTTAGAAATTTAGGAGTTATAAGTTTACAGTAGACTTGTTCTCATTTTGAGGGTAGGGCCCTCCCTGGTTACGCCAATGGAACCTTGTCGCTATTGAAAAGCAAACGTTTGCGAAATCTTTGATTGCTAGGAAGGTTTAGCATTTTAAGTATGTTTTGTAACGGCGCCTTGTTTGACTTAAAAAGTTAGCATCGAATCAATATTTGTTGATCGTTCGGGTCCATACGAAATAGTTACGCAATATTGTACGAATTAATTGTGATTTCAGGCCGCCAATGCCTTTCTGGCACAGCGTATATCGAGCATAAATTCTCTGTCAGCGGTGTGCGAAGCCACCGGTGCAGACGTGTCCGAGGTAGCTCGAGCAGTTGGCCTTGACTCACGAATAGGATCAAAGTTCCTTCACGCATCCGTCGGGTTCGGCGGTTCTTGCTTTCAAAAGGACATCCTTAATTTAGTATATATCTGCGAATGCCTGAATTTACCTGAAGTGGCCGCCTATTGGCAACAGGTCATAGACATGAACGAATACCAGAAATCAAGGTTCTCCGCGAAAGTAATAGAATCATTGTTCAATACCGTTACGGACAAGAAGATTTCTATGCTGGGCTTCGCCTTCAAGAAAAATACCGGCGACACGCGTGAGTCACCAGCCATTCATGTTGCTAAGACCTTGCTGGACGAGGGTGCCATGCTTCACATTTACGATCCTAAGGTAATTTCTTTTTGATAAAATTATTCTACGTATGTACAACCAAATCGTTATGTAGCTCTGAATATAAAAGCAAAAAATGTGTTCTGACAAATTTAGCTTTTAAGAGACCTGAACCACTTACAATTTTTTAAGGCCCTAATAAAGTAAATCGAATAATTAAATGAGAAATGTTCATATTCGATTATAGTCGCAAATATATGAGTACAAATTATATACTGCTACTGGGTATTAAATTAAGTTTATTACACGATAAAAATATATTGTCGTGTGAGAACCCCTGTTGGACAGGTCTCGACCGCCCCTGTCGCATGTGTATAAATCCGTTACTGGGAGTGGGCCATATAAATGGAACCTTTACACTTGACAGAAACTCCAAAGTACTTTTAGAAATTTCCAAGTTTCTCCCCAAATACAAAACTTGAATTTTTCAATGTGTGGAGTTAAAAATGGTTTATTTTCATAGGTTGAAGAGAATCAAATTATTGAGGACTTAACGGATCCTAGTGTAACGAATAATCCTCAACACGTGAAAAAGAGGATCAGTATTTATAAAGACGCTTACAGTGCCATAAAAGGCACGCATGCTATTGTTGTATGTACTGAATGGGACGAGTTTATTGTAAGTATTAACTGTAAGCACAATACACATGTTTTAGAAACATTTTCGTGATTGCTTCTTGTGGTTTTTCAGGAGTTGGATTACGAAAAAATTTATCTCAGTATGATGAAACCAGCATATATTTTCGATGGACGAAAAATTTTAGATCATGACAGGTTACAGAAAATTGGTTTCATTGTTCAAACTATTGGTAAAAGAATTACTAGGACCATACTCTCGAGAGCATGGGGAAGCCAAACGCAAATATAAATAAGATTGTACAGAATACCGTCATAATTTTGAATTATTTAAACTGATAAATATTTCTGAATGCTAGAAGCATTTTAAATGTTCATTTCTTTTTATATTTTTACAATTTGGAATTTAGGACTTTTGTTTTAAATTCTCTTGACGAAAATGTATTTTAGTAATACATGTTTGAATTTTACTGAAATACAAGTTATAGATCTAATAGGTTTTAGAAGCAACATAAATAAATTTTCTTTACGAAATTTAAAATATAAATGTTGGAAGATATACGTCTGTTTGAGGATATGCGTGTGTGTGTGTGACACATGTCAGTTATCAAGTTTTGCAATAATGAATAACATTGTATGAAATGTTTGTATAACTTTTTTACATAACTTGATATATAGTAGACACAAGTATTATTTCCATAATTTCGTTTTTATTAGAGATATATTTTTAAGTTGTATTTATCGTTTGTGGCATTTATGAGATTATATTAAAAGAAAAAACTGTAACGAAACGTCATGAGTTTTTTCGTTTATGTGCAATACTATAGATGCACAGAACATTTTATGAATATTATTAATACGGTACATTCCTGCAAAATGTACTTGCATATAGCCATTTGTATTTGTTAAAAGAAACTGATAAGTATTCCTATGCGATTCATTCTTATAATTTAGTTTTTTATTCCGACTATTTTTATTGCATTTTCGACAAAATTTCTTACAATTTTCAATTTAGTATAAATATTAAGTCTAGATGATTTGTTCCTAATGCTTTCACTGTCGTTTAAAATATAAGAAATGCTTTGAAAGTATAATGATTTGATAGAAAATATTTTAATTTCCAACATATATTTTTATTTACAGTATTAACATTAGGAACAAATAACGGTATAGCAATAATGTTAATGTTATATTTGATATATTGCATGCACATGTCATGCAAGACATGCCATTTAATAAGAACAATCTTTAAAGGTTAATGAATTATATCTTTCATAATAATGATCTACAAAATAATTTTCATTGTATGTAATTACAATGATATAAAGGATGATTTCATGCAATTCATTTTATGCAACAATACTTTTATTTTCCTGGTTACATATACAGAAAAATTTATAAATAAACGTTGATAAAAAAAAAATTCTTGAAGGAACCATTGTATATCAAATCTGTTCATTATCCCACAATTGTATTTACACGTGTAGTACTTTTAGACAACTATTTCAGTATTTTGTTCTTTAGCATTAATACAAGTCAAAGGAAACAATTCGTTACCATAATTTATTTTTAACTTTGCCTAAATTAAAAAACTAATTATAATTGGAGTATGAGAGTACAATTACTTAATTTCTCTTTCCTAGTCGACACGTTACGGTATTATTCTGGTTAATGACTTGTCATAAAATTGAATGTTCAAGCTTGCGGATACAATGACCAAAGCCGTACATAAAACTTACAGGGCCCAACGCAAAAATCAATATCTAATTATTAATTAACAGCTAATTGTAATTTAATTCAATTAATTTCTACATGATTTTAATCAAATTTGGCGGGATGATAAATCTATATTTTTCATAAGCGTAATCCAATTTTTTTTGTATAAGTAATTAGTTAAAAAAAAATGTCTAAAAATTGAAAACAATGAACTTAAAAAAAAAGGTACTTCATATCTTAAATTAAAAAATGTTCAAATTCATAAACTTTCAATTTAACGAGCTTACAAATTTAGAAATTCTTTAATTCACAAATTTCCGAATTTTTACCAAGCTTTCAAATTTTTTAATTTGCACACCAATTTTTTTCCAAAATTCCCGAAATTTAGAAATTCAAAAAATATGTATGAATATTCAAATTAAAAAAATTAAAATAAATTTTCAAGTTACACGTAAGGTTACGCGTTTAGTTACATTTTAGGTTACATGTTTGAACTCCGAAAATTAAAGGCCAATGATAAAATGCTTCCCCCACATTCATTCTCAACCGAAGTAAATCTCCGTTGGACGTACCCGAGTATCCTGTCAATGTCACTTCATCATTTCCCGAAATTTTTTGTTTAAATTTACACCAAATATTCCTGTCATCCTAAACTTAACGAATGTATAAAAATTTGAAGTCGAAATATTTGGAGGGTTTAAAATGGACGTACACGTAATCCGTTAATAAGTTCAATTTACCGCGAAGATACTGTTGCGTGTACGTACGGTCCTGTCGCAGAAGAGCGATGGCGCCGCCGAGCGAACTACTGGCTGCAAAAGCAGAGGCAGCAGCAGCAGCAGCGACGGTGACGGCAGTAGCGGCAGCAGTAGCAGCAGTGCGTGTCGCTCTGCGTTCGCCGTGAAAATTCGGCAAGTGTTCCGCGTGACAGTAGAGCGTGCAAGTTGTATCGAAGAATCGAACGATGTCGAAGTGTTGGCGTCGCGTGATTCGCTCGAGATCGCACCATTCATCGAAGTGTCAGTGAATCGTTCGGTCGGCTGTTACTTTTTTCCTTGTTGCGCGAAACCTCTCTTTTTGTCGGCCAACAGGGATAATAGGCCGGGCCTATCAGTACAGTAGGAAAATGGCGGCTCGCCTTGCGCGGCGTAGACAACGAAGGGCAACGGTGTTTTTCGTGTAACGTGAACGTACGAGGCGAAAAAAAAAGTAACCCTTCCCGGTCGTTCGTTGCGAGTGTGCAGAGCGCGAGTGCGGATCGTTGGCACGGTGAGAAATAAAAAATAAAAGCCCGGAGCTCGTTGAGTGCGAGATGAGAGCGGAACGTGTAGCGCGAATGAAAAACAACACGAGAATCGAGTAACGAAGAACCACTGTGCGTACCGTTCGTACACGCGTGTGTGTTCGCATGAAAGCGAGTAGCGATCAACGGTGACAAGTGTTTCGTCGACGGGGAACTTCGTCTTTAGACCCCACGTCGACAAGAAAATGATATTCCGGGCCTCGAGACACCGTCGTGGCTACGTCGATCAGGATCCTCGTGCCGCCGTTTGCTGTCGTCGCCATTGAGCTACGGCCGCTTTCGCGAAAAGCATTTTTTTCGCGAGAGGAGAGAGAGGCCGTGGACGACGACAACAACAACGACGAAAAGCTGAGGGAAGATGAGAGGCGCGTGCGACGGCGGCATTGCGAGCTTTCTCGCTCTGGCGCTCCTCTGTTTATTCCACGCGTCATGCTTTGTGGACGGTATGTAATGTTTCTATTACGTTGCCAAATAAATTCGACAATTTTTCTTCGAAGCCTCTCGAATTCTTCACTGTTACGATTCCAACGAATTCGAGCAATCTGGCGTCCTTTTCGATGCGCGTTAAAAAAGCTCGCTACGAGTTGATTCATTAATATCCAATGTTGCGTTCAAATACGTTTGTAATGATTTTGTTAACAGTACTGATTTTTAAGCATTTGTACCGATTACACTTTTCGTTGCTAGATATGAATTTTGGAAGAAAAACATTTCTTTCACAAGTGATTTAAAGATTTGCACACTATTACTAAATATTGTAAATATTATAAATTTATTGAATGTATTCCATTACTAATTATTTGACAGAACGTTTTTTAAGATTATCTTAACTAGTAGTTAAATATGTGATAGCATAAAAATATCAGTGTGCAACAATTTCATGTTCAGTTAAAGATGTGGCATGTTTACCTTGCCGCCATATTTTAAAAATTCACACAGTTGTCAAACAAACAATCTTAAGATTCAGTAACTACTTTAAAAAACATGTTTAGTCAGTATTGTGTATATTTTACAAAATATTTGTATTATTCTTTAAACTGATTTGATAATAAAGATCATTTTTTAACAGAATATTATAAGCCAGAAGTTTAGACTGTTCATTGAATTAAAGGGAACATTACCTAACCTAACAAATATCCAATTAGATAAACAACGTCCTTATAAACTGCAACCTTGAGGTTATAGTCGAACGAACGTTTTAAAAGATTTCAAGATTTTGTGGTAGGTTAGGTATATTACCAACTTTATATTTCTAAAAGACCTTTCAAAAGTACACTATAAAATTGTTCAATTCCATTGCGAGGAACACCTGAGGATCGAATGTAATTGTTAATTTCATCTCATTTATTTAAATATTTATTTAAATTGCACATGAATCTCGTTTTTTCTTTCTACTCATCTCTTCATCATTCCTCTATTTTACTCTCTCTGTACTCTTCTCTCGTTCATATTTCTCTCTTCATTCGTATAATCGTCTACCTATCTGTCATTCTTTCTGTCTTCTATTCGACCAATACGGTGTTCCCGCTCTTTCCGTCTTTCTTTCGCTTTCCAACAAGACGCGTAACGTTGCGTAAGCAACGCAGCACTGCGTACAGAAGGGCCGATTAATCTTGTTGTACGAGGTTCGTCAAGTATGCGGAAGGGTACGTTTAATCGGCACAAACTGTACGGACTTCGTCTACTAGACAATTGATATGTTCCTTTTCTTTCGACTAGACATGCCTTACAATTGTAGTTATGAACTAAAACAGCACATGTATATACGTTGATGGTGGCACTGTTCAAACAATTTTAGCGGGAAATTTTTTAAAATAACCATAACTTTAAATTTAGGTCTTTCTAATTATTGTAGAAATCAATAAATAATTATTGTAACATCATGTGGACTCATGTTTATTAGTTGACTTCTGTCAAGTTACATATTATTTAATTTAATCAAGCTTATGTTAAGTAGTTTAGTTTGATCAAACTTAGGTTAGGTCGTTGTTCAGTTAAACAGAAGTCAAGTTAGGTATTGTTTAATTTAATCAAGGTTATATTGAGTAGTTTAGTTTGATCAAAGTTGAGTTAGGTCGTTATTCAGTTAGAAGTCAAGTTAGATATTATTTAATTTAATCAATTTTATGTTAAGTAGTTTAGTTTAATTAAAGTTAGGTTACAGTTTAGTTAAATTAAGTTAGATTGAAGTCATGTTTCATTACAGTTTGATCAAACTTATGTCGTGATTGGTTAAATGAAACTTACGTTTTGTCATGTTTTTGTTAAACCGAAGTTAGGTTAGGTCGTGGCTTCGCCCCGGTATCTTTCATCGACGTTGTTTTTTCTCTGACTGCACAGTCGTTAATTTCTCTCATGACCGGTTAACGATTATAATTCACGAGCAATGGACTTTATTAGTCATCGTACTCGAGGGTGTACAATATTTATTGACCTTATTAACGTGCGGTCCTTAAATGCGCCGTTTAAAAGGATTAGAATATCAATTAGTTAAATGACTCTATCACTGTAGGAGATAGTTCAATAGTACAGCATTTAAGCGTCAATTGCACGTAAACACCGAGTGTTTTGTGGTGTAGTTAAGTATAATTTGCTGCGAACCGCTTTCCAAGATTAGCCTAATCTTATCTGTTACTTCTCTTTTTTCGGTGGAGAAATCAATGCATGGCAATCTAAGCAAATTAACGGAATAATTAGCAACGATTAAAAATTTTAGCATTACTATAAAGTTTTATTACAAATTATTACTTTATTCCTGATATTTATTTGTATGTATTGTATATAGATTTCTTGCAGTAATGGACAATAAAAATATGAGTAATATCAAGTCGAGTGTGGGTTTAAAAAATTATGTTTTATCAGTCTTCATATAGTGTTGATGTTACTGGATTTCATAAGTTATATAAATGAAAGTAATACAATTTTTTACATTTCTATGTTTGTTATATTTTAGAAGGTCTTTCACAATAAAAATGTTGAAACAGAAAATCGTACCACATGTTAAATAATAAATACATTTAAACACTTATATTCCCAATTTCAAAAGTCCAAATTCCGAAATTAAATTCTCAAATGCGTCACAAATTAAAGACTTTACTCGTGCATAAAAATATCTAAGCTTGCGCAATTGACAAGCATTGATAAGAAAGATGTTACTAAGTAGAGATTTACATGATCATGAAGTTTAAATGAAACGTGATGTAAATGAGTTAAAAATATTCAGTAGTAAATAAGTATGTACTGTAAGACAGTACTTCAGGTGTTGAACTTTTATTCTCGATTATTTTTAATTAATACACGTTACTTCCTTCGTGCGTATCTGATAAGTCCTTCATTGTTTGTAACGTCTGGTTATTACTTTGATATGTACTTGCGATCATTTTACCCGGGTCGTTAAATCATCAGATCCGTCGAACAATAGGGAACTTCGTGTTTGGCATCGTAATTTTAATTAACATGGAAATGAAGCTTCTCAAACCATTTTTATCTCGACTATCTAGGCACAATGTTTCAATTGCCAATTGTAAGAATGTCAAGTTAAGCCACTTTTATCCATAATGATTGAAAAGTTATTGGTTCTCGATTGATCGGTATTTTACCCTCGTTTCTTATTCAGAAATAAGAAATGAGCTTGCTAATGTAATTTAAAGTTTACATTTTACAGAATTATTTATTAAAACTTAAAATTATTTGATAAAACCTGTACAGTAATTTATTTTCATTAATTAAACTTTAACTTAATTCGTATAAATAATTTTGCTACACTTATGCTAATTCTTGTGCCATCGTTAATGGGCTCGGTTGAATTGATTGCTAATCGAATAGATAGAATAAATTGCTAATTGAATAGATTGAATTAATTGCTAATTGAAAAGATAGAATTAATTGCTAATCGAATAGGTTGAATTGATTGTCGATTGAATAGATTGAATTAATAGCTAATTGAATAGATAAGGTTTATTGGCGATTGAAATATTAGCTGCAATAAATAATGTGTGATAATTGAGAAAAGAAATATGGAAGCTTTTAACAGTTTATCACATTTTTTTTTCTTTCTTCTTGCTCCAACTCTTTTTAACATTTAAGTTACTCTCCTTCATTTAATACTGCTTGTATACTACTTTAGTGCTATAATAATTTTGCAAAATTCATTACTTTAATAGATTTTGATGCAGAATTTTGATATCTCAAAGTTCACCATTTGAGAGAAGCATTGCCTCTTCTAATCTCCGTCTCTCCGTCGTTTCTAAAGCTCGATAAACAGAGCTTTATCAAAGTATAGCTTATCGCGTTGTTTGAGTGGCCTTCTAATTTTCGTGTAATGTTTGTTGCGAATTCACGATCGGATATCGTATACAAAATTTATCAATTTATTTTTGTCGAAGGCGCCGTGTGGTAAACAATGACTTTCAGTCTCGATCCATTACCTATACAAATTTTCCCATACTTCCGAATTATCTTATGTGTCACTAGATATGTTATCGTTATCGATGGGCACCGATAATATCGAACTATTATTCATCATTTGATACAACAATAACGTTAAAGTGAATTATTCCTATTTGAAATTAGATTAGATTTAAAATTTAATCACGAATGAGTATATTTGAATGATGTGCTAAATTCGGTTCTACTAAATTTAATTATATTTGATTACGTTTAGTACGCTTAGTTTAGATTTTGATAGATTTGTTTATATTTGATCCGATTAGATTAAGTTAGATAACTTTGATTAGGTTAGATTAAATTTGATTAGATTAAATTATACTCAGTTAAGTTCAATTAAGGTTATCATATTGGATTAGATCAAATTCTATTAGGCTTTAGTTTAGTTAGGTTTGAATAGATTTGATGAGATTAAGTTATTTTAGGATAGATTTCTAATACTGTTAAATTAGGTTAAATTCAGTTGGGTTTGGTTAGGTTTTTCTTTACATTTATTCAAATGATATTATGTTCACTTATGTTAGATAAAATTCTGTTAGATTAGGTTACATTTAGTTGGGTTTGGTTAGGTTTTTGTTTACATTTATTCAAATGATATTATGCTCAGTTATGTTAGATAAACTCCTGTTAGATTAGGTTACATTTAGTTGGGTTTGGTTAGGTTTTTGTTTACATTTATTCAAATGATGTTATGTTCACTCATGTTAGATAAAATCTTGTTAGATTAGGTTTCATTCAGTTAGGTTTGGTTAGTTTAAATTTGTTCAGATTAAATTATGTTCAGTTAGTATGTCTCAAATCTTGTTGAATTTAGTTTCTTCGATTTCGATTACGATAATTTCTATTTAAAATTGATTAAACAATAAACATAACACAATGCTAAAATTACACATTCTGTTCCACACAAATCACCATTGATCATCTCATCAATATCACTGATACATCCTCAAATATCAATAACATACTTTATAATTAATAACCAAACCCTGTTTTCACAATAAAGTCATCAATGTAACAACACATACCACAGTTACCATGTAACATACATAACAAAAGTAATTACATTCACACATGTACAATTATAACAAAAATCTCCAGAACACTAAGTTGATCAATTCGATCTCCGAACAACTCTAAATATCATTCCACAGTATCAGCAAAGAAACCAGAGTTCTATCAACCTGTCTACCCGTAGCTTTGGCGAAAATCAATTTCCCCGATGTCGATAAGAATACCACGTACAGGTTGATATCGATTTATCTGAAACGCCTCGATTTATCTCGCTCCATTGTATATTCAACGAGCCTCGATATGTTTTAATTACCGGTACGATAATATCGTGATCGTATAGTATCGAGCCGTGACACGATCCAGGCAAAAAAGCTTCTGAAAAAAAAGAGAACGATTGATACGAATCGATAACGAACCTCATACAAATTGAACAGCAATATGGCTGGTCTTTCGATGTATTTAGGGCTCAACAAAATTTTATCTCACAGACTCTGAATCACTATTTTTATTGTTCTTAATTAACCTTACTTCACAATCTGCATAAATATGGTTAAATGTGATGGATATTGCTGTTCATAGTAACATATTGCTTCATACTAACTTTGTCAGTTATGTACTGACTTTATACTATTAAGTCAGTTGTAACTATATGACGTCTGTGATCACTTTATACTCTGAAGGTGACTCACCATTTGCTTTAGCACATTAATTTGAAATAAGTAGTTTTTAACTAGATTTGTAATGTGATGTATAAACTCAGTACCGACAGTAACGACCAGTAACGTAGAAATAACTTCAGAAGAATTGATTGAACTTAACAAGTTTTAAAATTGCCTAAGCAAAAATATCTTTGAGTGAATTAGCAAAACTGAATCCAACGATGAGAAACACTGTCTATCGTCTACTGACACTATCTAACTAAATCTGACTGACACCATCAGGTCTAAGGGTCTGATACTCTTTGTCAGTGAAGACCATAGTAATAAGCAGTGCATAGTTTCTCTTTTCTTTAGGTGAACTCAAATTTTTGACGAGCTCACTTGACGAGAGTTCACTTCTCATAGAGTGTACAAAAAGTCAAGAATCCACCTCTTACATAAAGTTTACAGTATAAAGTATAGAAGAGCCTTATTACTTTCCCGCCATTTCCAAAAGTACAAACAGTGATTATAGTTAAATATCCATACAATAAAAAATCAATATATGATACTAATATTAATCAATATAAATCAGTATATAATATAAGTCAATATACTAGAAAATTGTTTCGAGCCTCCTGAAATATTTTAATTCAAATCTTGAAGATCCACTAATATTTAGAGAGTGAGAATTTTGAATCAGCCCAATATTTTGCGAACGTCGAATAACGCGTCAAAGGTATACCGATGTCGATCTACCAGTCGTGGTACACATATTCACGTATGTATCCGGCTCATGAATACAGAATTCGAGATCAGTCCAGTCCTCTACTTGGCTGACTGTTGAATCGTAAATTAGGTCTAAACAGAAATCGCGCAATGGCTACGCGGCCAATCACGAATCTCCGCTAGAGAATAAATTACACAGCGAGCGAGTCGCGTTACGGCATTATTGCTCGCTCGACAATTTCTCCGTAGGAGAGAGAGATAATCTCCGGAAGGTAATCGATATAGGGAATATCACCAAGGATCGACGATCTCTACTGAATTGGTACACGCTCAGTTTGCGACGTTAACACGTTGATAACTGCCGGGGGTCATCGGTGATTGACACTCTACTTGCCTATTACACTCTATGGGATCATCGATGATTCTTAACGCTGTTAACGTTTCGACGGATTGAATAATTTTATGATATTCATGGTATTCATCTTTTGGATACATGTTTGCATAGGCTTCTTTTGGATATGTGGATTTCACTATTGATGCTTGGATTCCACTCTTGGCAAATTTATTATACTTGTGAGTTTTGTAATTTTTATGTCTTCAAATTTTCAAATTTTTTCAGTTTGATGTCCTTAAGTTTTCAAATTCTTATACTCTTCATTTAAGAAATTTTTAAGTCTTCAAAGTTTCAAATTAAGGTCCACAAATCAATGTTCACAACTCAGTATCCCTACATCCACAAATTCTTACACTCTCAAATTTTTAGGTTACCAATGTCCTACATCACTAAATCCCTAGATTTCCATATATATATAATAAATGTTCAAATACTCAGTCCTCAAATTTCCAGGCCAATGACCAAATCTAGTAAAAGAAATTGTAAAATTTAGTGATTTGCAAATTTGCTATTTTGAAACTTTAAAAATTGAAAAATCTGACCAACTGCAAATTGTATAATAAATTATGTAAATTATAAAATAGATACTTTGAGAACTTGCAACTTTGAACTTTCATAGACAAAGCTATAAATAATATCAATAACTTATCAATAACCCTCGTGTCAACATTAATTAATTCTTCAGCAACAAAATACCAAAATATCTATCTCCCCCAGACAATAATTCACCAGCAAAAGTTCGTAAACACGCAGCAAAAGTTTGATTCGAATCTTAAGTTTTATCGCCGGAATGGCCGGTTTTACCCCGAAGTATTCGCTAGCATGGCGTTCAAACGATTGCGCCGGGGGAAATTAAAATAACAGTGTCGGGCAACTCGTAGGAAGACGTTCGTCGTCGACGAATTCCGAGTGTAATATTTGTCTCGTCTGTCGACCACCAGGATACACGGTTTCGAGCGGTGGTACGACTTGACGAAACGAGTTTAATTCGAGTGATTACCGCACGCCCACATCGAAGTCGGTCTCGTGGTCCAAGCACGCCTCTTTCGTAGCGCGAACAGAGACCAAAGGGGTTCGAAACCCAAGGAAATACCTGTGCATGGGATTCGCCGCATACCGAACCCCATATAGCGTTTTTTTGCTAGGTCGTGAGATTTGGGCTCTTCCTGTGCGTGGATTCGTATGGAAACTACGGAACGAAGATTTAGCAAATCTATTAGGTTGTGTGATGCTTGTATTCGAAGTTTTTGGGTTTTGAAGTTTCCAAGGTTTTGTTAATTTTCTGATTATCAAATTTTCAAATTTATAGTTTCTTTATTTGGTAGTCTTCAAATCCTCATATCTATGAATTTTAAAATCATCAAATCTCTGAATTCTCAAGTTTACAAACCCTCAAATCTTCAATTTCTCAAGTCTTCAAATGTTCAAATCTCTAAATTCTAAAATCTCCAAATTCTCATATCTCCAAATCCACTAATCTTTGAATCTACAAATCTACAAATCTCCAAATCCTCAAAGCCCCAAATTTTTAAATGTCCAAATCCTCAAATCTCTAAATCCACAAATCACCAAATCCTCAAATCTCCAAACCCTCAAGTCTCCAAATCCTCAAATTTGCAAATCCTCAAATCTCCAGACCCTCAAATCTCCAAATCCACAAATCTCCAAATCCACAAATCTCCAAATCCTCAAATCTCCAACTCCTCAAATCCTCAAATCTCCAAATATCCATCTCCCTAAACTTCCATCCCCCTAAATCTCCATCTCCTCAAATCCCCATCTTCCCAAATTTCCCCACACAACATTCGAGCCACCAGACCCTCTATTTTCAAGTCAATAAATGATGTAAACCGGCAAAAAATAAAAGGTACGCGATCGAAATGGCGTGCGTCATCAAGAGCGTGATGAATTATTGAGAAAATAATGTAGACATCATTATTCTTAGTAAACCGCGTTGTATTCCTTGCCTGGAGCGAACTTTTTTTTTAGCACAGCTTATTAAGAATAAGATTGCTTCACAGCTTGGACACGATTAACCCAGTTCATTTTAATAATTGCGCAAATACATTTCGATCGCAAGATTTTTTTATCTCATCGATACTCGTCAAATGTAACAAGATCCATCGATTGTGATAAAAATGATAGATTATGCGTATTTATGCATTTATAAGTCAGTTTTTTTTTGTATGAGAAGGTCTTAATCTTTATCCGTGAAATATTGATGTAAGTACAAGAACGAACTTGTAACGAGATATCGTGAAACGGAAGCTTGTTAATCGGCTTGTTCTTTTTTTTATGATTCATTAATTATGTAATTTGAGAACTAAGTACGGGTGTTCTTGGAATATGTGCATTTGAAATGTGTAAATTTATAGATTTAAAATTTTTTAATTTTTATATTTTTAATTTGAAATTGCAATTTGTTAAACTTGTTGAATTTGAAAATTTGAAATTTTTAATTTTTTAAATTGAACCGTTTGAATTTGTGGATTTGCAAAGTGGGAATTTTCAAACTTGTAAATTTTCAAAGGGAAAATTTTTAAATATATAAATTTGTAATTTATGAATTCAAATATTTAAATTCTATGTCTCTGAAGTTGTTTATTTGAAATTTCTAAATTTCCCAATTTGTAAATTTAAAATTCCTGAATTTGTTAATAGAACTTTTTAGATTTACAAATCTGCCAATTTGTCATTTTTTAAATTGTAAACTTACAAACTTACAAAATATATAAACTTGCACTTTCTGATTTCAAAAATTTCAGCTCTAAATTTCTGAAATTCCATATTTAACATTTCTACCTTTGGAAATATGTAAACTTGTATATTTAAATATGTATACTTGAAATTTATACGCAATTTATATTTAACCACCTCTCATTAACTATTCCATTCTTTTTTCAGGACGGCTGAAGTGTTATTGCGATATCTGCAAGGAAACCAATCACACGTGCGAAACCGATGGCTATTGTTTTGCTAGCACCAGCTTAGAGAACGATGTTATCACGTATGCTCGAAGGTAATGTATTTGCATGTGAAGTTTGCTATCAAGAATAATTTACTGATCAAAAATTTCTCTTTGGTCACGATCTGTCGATTTGCAATCGACTCAAATCCTTCCAGTGATTCGACGACATATTTAGAAAGCAGTGATGCAATATCTAGCATTTAACACTTTGACGACTATCAATCATCATTTCAACACGTCATTTTTTACTTAAGTTAGTTAGTTCACTTTATTTTCATTTCTATAATAATTACGATTTTGTGACATATATTGTACAAATTTTTGTGTATATATTTTTAAGTTGATCTTCATTTTTTAATTGCAAATTTAATTGTATAGATTTTGAAACTTTCATCAAGAAGAAGTATTATAACTTTATATAACTTTATGTAACTTTATATAGCTAGTATTATAACTTGTAGAAGTTATTAGAAGAAGTATTAGAAGCATTACAATATTGAGAAAATTAATAATTCATGTGATATTTTCAGTGAAAAATTTGAACATTCGAAATATCTCAGAAATCATTGATTTTACTAATATTGGACCTTCATGCCTTTTTCAGTACCACTTTTCCAAAACTTCGACATTTGAAATATCTCAATTATTCTTTTTTTGCCAACATATAAAATATGTCAGCACTCGTTGATTTTATTAAAATTAGACCTTAATACTTTTTACGTAACATTTATTCGAAGCATATAACCCGACCCAGAGTATTGATCCCCACAAAAAAGACCATATATACTTCTAGTTAAAAAAACAGAATCGATCTTGAAATTTCCTTGAAGATCCTTAACCCACAAAAAAATTATTACTACCAAGTTATGGGTTCCCTGGTGTCGTACAACTTTCCCGAATAAAGTTTCTTTGTATCTCTAAAAATAACGGAGATAACCCAGGTGATCAGAGTTATTGCCCAATCCTGTGTATCGATCGGCCGAGGGTCCTTCCAGTAATCTCCTTTTTAATATCGAGACAAATATATGTACAATCGTAAGAATCGTTTCGCAAAATATATGGTCGTCAAAGGGTTAATATTTTGGACGATCAATTTGTTACACATTTATGTAAAAATGTTGTGGAAGTTATGTGTTAGGAATATTTGTACCGGTGATGTGTAAATGTGGGCGCGGGAAAATTTAAATTTTTGTGTTTGTGAGTTTTTAGTTTTTAAGTTTTAAGGTTTTTCGATGTTTAAATTTGTCAATTTTTAGATTTGAAGATTTCAACATTTAACATTGTCCAAAAATTTTATAAATTGAAACATTTAACAACGTCCAAATGTAAAAGTTCAAAAGTTTGAACATGTGAGAATGTCCAAATGTAGAAGTTCAACAATTTGAACATTTAACAAAGTCCAAATGTAAAAGTTTAAAAACTTGAATAAACCACAACGTCCAAATACAAAAGTGCAAAAGGAACACCTGACAATTTAAAATCGTGAAAATTAGAAACTAGTTTCTTGTTCATATCTCTAATACCTCACTACGCGAACGACGCCCATAAACTCTTGAACGGGCAGTTGATTTGCCCATCACTGGTTTACGCTCACGGTTAAATACACCTTGATTAACATGGAAATGTGTAGTTCGAAATTGTATCGTTCAATAAATTTGGTAGCAACGTCGAATCACTGCATTACAAGGTAAACAGCATAGCTGTTCGACGAATTGTAATAAATATTGATTTAACTGTGTGCATCTCTGAAAGTTAAAACATCGTTTATTTAACGTAATCATGTTATCTGAAATAGAAGCAGCATCTGCGCAACGATTGTTGCACGAGAAGGTAAACAACGGTGTTTCCCTGCCTCGGCTATCCTGTTCGAATGATGTTTTCATTTAATTTCAGCGTTAATTGCTCGTTACTGGGTATCGATAATCATTGCTACGAGGATAAAACGAGCGATAAACGATGTAGCAACGAAACGTCTGTTTTCATTTATCTTTTGCGCCGTGAAACTCATTAAATCCTATAAATAAATACGGAATGCAAATTCATCGATGATGGAAATTATCGTTCTTATATAATAAAAATTATCGTGTATTAATGATGGTTTAAATAATTATGTTGATTTTAATATGTTGGCTAATTGTGTGAGAAATGTTTGTGGAACAAAGCTGGTTGAATGTGGAATTGAATGGGTATGTGATGGGTACCGTTGCAGTCTCGCTATATGGCCCGTTGGGGGATGAACCATATACTTTTATGAAGATTTATAGTGATTTATAGTGATTTTTCATTTTAGTGGACTGTGATTCATAAATTTATGGATTTGGAGGTTCAATTCTTAAATTTTGCAAATTTCATGTTTACAAATTTCAAAGCTTCAAATTTTCACATTTGGAAATTTCACATTTGCAAAATTAAAATTACTAAATTTTCACACTTGCAAATTCCAAATCTTCAAATTTCCAAGTTTGCAAAATTCGAATCTCCAAAATTTCACACTTGGAAATTTCAAATTTTCAAATTTCCAAATTTGCAAAATTCAAATATTTAAATTTCCATACCTGGAAATTCCACATTTGCAAAATTAAAATTACCAAATTTTCACACTTGCAAATTCCAAATCTTCCAATTTCCAAATTTGCAAAATTCAAATCTCTAAATTTCCATACCTGGAAATTCCACATTTACAAAATTAAAATTACCAGATTTTCACGCTTGCAAATTTCAAATCTTCAAACTTCCAAATTTGCAAAACTCAAATTTCCAAAATTTCACACTTGCAAATTTCAAATCTTCCAATTTCCAAATTTGCAAAATTCAAATCTCTAAATTTCCATACCTGGAAATTCCACATTTGCAAAATTAAAATTATCAGATTTTCACACTTGCAAATTTCAAATCTTCAAATTTCCAAATTTGCTATTATTCCAAACTCAAATCTACAAAATTTCACATTTGCAAAATTAAAGTCACTAAATTTTCACAATTGTAAATTTCCAAATCCTCAAATTATCACACTTGCAAATTTCAAATTTATAATCTTAAAGTTTGCAAGCTACTGATTTCACTACTTCAAATCTCCCAACTTGCAAATATGCGAATCTCAAGTCTATAATCTTCAAGTTTGCAAACTTCAAATCTCAAAATTATACATTTTTCAATTTCCATATTCGCACCCTTCAAATCTTCAAATCTGCAATGAAGTTTATATATGCAGTGAAATTTCTAAACTTCAAGTCTGCAAACTCCGGATTCACAATCTTCACATGTCCAAATTTGATATATGCAACCTTGCAAAGTACCAATACTTCACTACAGTTCACACGAAGATTCCACTGAAATAAAATACACAATTAATTTCATCCGATAATGACTGCCTATGTGTCCCAAGCATACTCAAGTATTGTGCACAAAAAAAGTGCATAAGAAAGTAATAACTGTATGATATGCCTTAATTCGAGCACCCGAAATAATTGAAGGATTCGAGCAGCTTTGGTTCCCAGTTGTTTCGATCGCGTTCGCGGACGGAAGTTCAACAGTCTCGTTCCGTTAGCGATCGATTCCCTCGTTGTTTCCAGGAACGTTTAGCCGCTTTTTTCGGCTGGCCCTGCAAGCCATGATTAGCGCCTGTTTCGGGAGTTCTCGACGGAAACGAATTATTGTTGTCGGCCGGTGGTCGCGTTGGTAACGCTCCGCAAGGCGCTTTTCAGATTTCTTGTCGTCGAACGAAACAGAAATCGAGGAACTTTTATTTCTCCTCCTCGCGATCGATATCTTTTGATTCGCTATGAGATTTTGCTTGGTGTGGGGGTAGCCACAGATGAACCCTGACAGACGAAAAAGATAATTTTCATTTGGGAATTATTTGTTTGTCTTTTGTTCAAGACTTTGTAATTGTGCTCGTTCGTCTAGACATCGTTAATTGATTCCGTTTTCGTTGCGGTCAATACAAAGGTCCCGGATAAACTTAGAACGAAAGCTAAAGTAAACGATCAACAGACTACCACGAAACTTTGTTCATTATCGGGCGAAAAAAAATATTCGTTTCATAGAAATAACGGTGTACCGTTATGAGCTGTTTCGACGAGTTTGCAATTTCGTTGCATTTTATCGAACGGCCAATTTCGTATCTTTTAATATAAACGATAAGCGCGTTATCGTTTTCCGAGGAAAATGTTGCACAAAACAACCGACCTAAAATTCTTGGAATAAAAGTTACGTTCGTAGTAGCAGAAATAAAACAGGATTTGCATCGATCAGAATATATTATCCATTCTTCGTACGGCTGTTTAACATATTAGAGACGCAGGAATGTTTTTTATAACGATATCCAGAGGATATCTTTTTCTCTTTCTATTATGTAGACTGCCTTTTTTGATCTTATATTGATAGTTTGGTATTGTCTTATTTCGATACGGGTTTTATTTGATTTGGGTGGAAGACGCATTTGGTGCGTCGTGAGGTTAGAGGGTGGACTTTGTAAGCTTGTTTAGGGGAATGGCGATCGGGGGATTGCTGATAATTTCTTTTGATGATAATTTTAAAGCCATTTGATTTATTTGTAATTAGAGTAATTAGTTATTCTGTTGGGATTTTCAAATTTTACGACTTTGGGATTTTGGAAAATTTGAAATTTTAGAATTTTAGCGCTTTGGAATTTCAGAATGTTAGAATTTTGGCGCTTTGGAATTTCAGAATCTTAGAATTTTGGCATCTTGAAATTTCAGAACATTAGAATTTTGGCACTTTGGAATTTCAGAATGTTAGAATTTTGGCGCCTTGGAATTTCAGAATGTTAGAATTTTGGCGCTTTGAAATTTCAGAATGTTAGAATTTTGGCGCCTTGGAATTTCAGAATGTTAGAATTTTGGCGCCTTGGAATTTCAGAATGTTAGAATTTTGGCGCCTTGGAATTTCAGAATGTTAGAATTTTGGCGCCTTGGAATTTCAGAATGTTAGAATTTTGGCGCCTTGGAATTTCAGAATGTTAGAATTTTGGCGCTTTGGAATTTCAAAATATTAGAATTTTGTCATCTTGAAATTTCAGAACATTAGAA